GAGGTTGTCACCCCAGGCTGCTTTCTGGATATGGACTACAAACATTTCTGTATTTCTTCATCTCCATTACATGGAGTGCCAGTCAATTTGTAGTTTACAGATACTTAGCTAGGAAGGAAGTTATTCTTTGGTGTTGTTTGCGGGAAGCAAGAATGACACTACATTTCTGGCAAAATCAACAGGTATTCTCTGTTTTTGCTAAAAATGTTCTTAGCTTAAAAAAAAAAAGAAAATGAAGGCAGCCAGCACATCCAAGGGACTATAAGCTGTAATATACTGAATTTTTGTTCTTGGGTTTGTTTTTCTTTAACTGCTTCCCGGCCGTCCTATAGCAGAAATACTGCTACAGGGCGGCATGGATGCGCAAAAACACGTGTATATATATATATGTTAATTTGCATTTGGGGTAGGTGGTGCGCGCGCCCTACCCACGCACACTATTTTCGGTCGTCAGGCACCAGGCCCCAGATGATAATTACTCGCCGGCGCCCGGTGATTTCCGAGGATCTCCGACGGGGAGCAGTGTTTAGTTTACCAACAGTCCTCCTCCCTCTCAGCTCAAGCACACTGCTCTGGATGGCTGTATCCACAGCAGTGTGATTACAGTGAAGCACACACATCCCGTCCCCTAGTAAAACACTCCCAGCACACAGTTAACCCTTTGATCTCCCCTCATGTGGCACCCTTTCCTGCCCAGTGCCATTAGTACAGTGTCAACGCTTTTTTTTAGCACTGATCACTGCATTGGTGTCACTGGGGATGTCAATGACAACAAGCCAGTTCCCCCCTGTCAGAACATCCGCCACACTCCCGCTATAAGTCGCTGATCACTGCCATTACTAGCAAAAATGAAAAAAAAAATCCCAGTATATATACACCGCCATTTGTAAACACTAGAGAATGTTCACGTAAACCAATTAATTTTGACATATTGGGATTTTATTTGTGCAAAGACGTAGCAGAATACATTTGGCCTAAATTTATGAACGAAATGTGATTTTTAGAAATTTTTCTACTGGACATGTTTAATAGAAAAAATATTGTTTTTTTGGCAAAAAAGTTTTTTTTTTTATAGCATAAAAAATAAATCTGTACAGGCAATCAAACGCCACCAAAAAAAAGCTTGCCTTTGTGGAAAAAAAAAAAGATGTAAACATTATGGGTGAAGTTTGCATGACCGCATGGCAATTGTCAGTTTAAAATAACGCAACGCAAAAAATGGCCTGGACGGAATGGGGAAAAATCCTCTGAAAGGGCAAACGCAGAAAGTGGGTGTAGAGGTATTTTTTTTTCAGCCCCAATACATTTTCCAAAGGTAAAACATTCAAGATAAGCTGTCCAGCCCCCCTAAATACTACCAGGGAGCATCAGTGTCAGCGCGAACTATCCGTCGACATAGGACTTAAACCAAAATGAGGACGCTATGGCAGGAGACCCAGGAGGACCCCACTGCAATGTATACAGAGACACACAAAATCAGGAAGAGCCCCTACAGTTTCCAAAATGTAGTTTTGCTTAGTAAGCCAAAAGCCTTCTGGGAAAAGAGTCTTGTGGACAGATGAGACCAAGATAGAGCTTTTGTGTAAAGCACAATCACTAAGCACTGTTTACCGAAAACGGAATGAGGCCTACAAAGAACAAAACACAGTACCACTACTGGTTTTTATAGTTTAGGAGGTTCAATGATGTTTATGGGATGTTTTTGCTGCCTCAGGCAATGGGTTCCTTGACTGTGTGCAAGGTTCATCATGAAATCTGAGGATTACCAAAGGATTTTGGGTCGCACATGTTTGTAATATTGTCACCTCTGGGTTGAATGCGTCCATCCAGATCCTGGGTTACTTCCAGCAGGACAATGACCCCAAACATCGTCAAAAAGCACTCCCAAAATGGACTAGGCAAAGAAGCGCTGGAGATCTCTGAAGTGGCAGGCAATGCCTATCCTGCCCAGATCTAAATCCCATTGAATCTTCACCTGTGGAGAGATTTAAAATTGCTGTTGGAAAAGGTGTCCCTTCCAATAAGAGAGACCTGGAGCTGTTTGCAAAGGAACTGATTGTTGTGGTCCAAAATTGTAAAAGGGCTGAGGTGTCAGAAGCTTTGTTGATGGTTATATGGAAGCGACTGATTTCAGTTTATGTTTTCCAAAGGGTGGTGCAACCAAATATTAGCAGTTAAGGGTGCCAATACTTTTGTCCAGCCCATTTTTGGGGTTTTGTGTGACAAAAATGTCATATTTGCTTTGAAATGCCTCTGTTTTACTATTTGTTTCCAAACATACAAAGGGAATAAAGAACATGTGTATATAAAAAAAACATGTGTTAATGCAATCTAAACCTTAAAAGGTGTTGTGTGAAATACTGATTTTCAGGAAAAATATCAAGGGTTTGCCAACAATTTCGGCCATGACTGTATATGTTAATTTGCGGTTTTGGGGTAGGTGGTGCGCGCAGCCCTACCCACGCCCACTATTTGCGGTCGTCAGGCTCCAGGCCCCAGATGATAATTACTCGCCGGCGCCCGGTGATTTCCGAGGATCTCCGACGGGGAGGAGTGTTTAGTTTACCAACAGTCCCTCCTCCCTCTCAGCTCAAGCACACTGCTCTGGATGGCTGTATCCACAGCAGTGTGATTACAGTGAAGCACACACATCCCGCCCCTAGTAAAACACTCCCAGCACACAGTTAACCCTTTGATCTCCCCTCATGTTTATCCCCTTCCTGCCCAGTGCCATTAGTACAGTGTCAATGCTTTTTTTTAGCACTGATCACTGCATTGGTGTCACTGGGAATGTCAATGACAACAAGCCAGTTCCCCCCAGTGTCAGAACATCCGCCACACTCCCGCTATAAGTCGCTGATCACTGCCATTACTAGCAAAAATGAAAAAAAAAAATCCCAGTATATATACACCGCCATTTGTAAACACTATAATGTTCACGTAAACCAATTAATTTAGACATATTGGGATTTTATTTTAGCAAAGACGTAGCAGAATACATTTTGGCCTAAATTTATGACGAAATGTGATTTTTAAAATTTTTTTACTGGACATGTTTAATAGCAAAAAATATTGTTTTTTTTCTCAAAAAAGTTTTTTTTTTTTATAGCATAAAAAATAAATACTGTACAGGCAATCAAACGCCACCAAAAAAAAGCTTGAGTTGTGGAAAAAAAAAAAGGATGTAAATTTAATTTGGGTGCAGCATTGCATGACCGCGCAATTGTCAGTTAAAATAACGCAACGCAAAAAATGGCCTGGTCAGGAAGGGGAGTAAATCCTCTGGAGGGCAAATGGTGAAAGTGGGTGTAGAGGTAAATTTTTTTTATCTTAAATACATTTTCTGCATAAAGGTAAAATACCTTCCAAGATAAGCTCTCCCAGCCCCCCTAAATACTTACCCGAACCCGATCTTGGTCTAGCGCTGTTCTTTCTCTATCCCTATAGGACTTAGAAGCCACCAAATTATGTGAGGAGGAAGCGGGGGCTGGGGGCCAAGCTGCAATGTATATCATTAGACACACAACCCCGATCAGGATACAGCCCCCACAGGCTCCATAGAAAGTAGTTTTGCTATGAGGGCACTTGAAAGGGAGGAGGAGTTGAGAGCACCAGTGGAGGACCCAGAAGAGGAGGATCGGGGCTGCTCTGTGAAAAACAATGGCACTAAGCAGGTAAGTAAACATTATTATTTTTATGAACCCCCCCCCCAAAAAAAAGCCCTTTAGAACCACTTCTGGTTTTTAGCAGTTTAGAGCCTGTTCACACTATGTTTTTCCTATGGGATAACTCAAATTACTGCAATGATACACAGAAAACAATCATTTTCTGTGTGTCATGTTCACACCAGAACATGTTTCCTGAGCTGTGCAACATGTTTGCCTAATATTGCACCTCTCAGGATGAATGCATGTCCATCCATGCACATAAGAAATGTTACTTCCAGGACCTCTCCAGAGCCTCCCCCATCCTCTGGAACTCTCTACCCCAATCTATCAGACTAGCGCCTACTGTGCCCACTTTTAGGCGATCTCTGAAAACCTATCAGGGAAGCCTATCCTGCCTTCAGCTAATAATGGAATCTTCTATTCCTCCTACCAGTCCATCCCCCACAGTTACTACCTTTTGTACCACTAGCCCCTCCCTCTTAGATTGTAAGCTCCAAGGAGCAGGACCCTCCTATCCCTCCTGTACTGAACTGTATTGTTGCTGTATTGTCTCCCATTATATTGTAAAGCGCTGAGCAAACTGTTGGTGCTATATAAATCCTGTATTTATAATAATAATAACTCCTGCTGCATGGCTCTGCAGCCCAAAACCGCTGCAGTTTAGCATTGCAGACTAGTGTGAATGAGCCCTAATTTGTAGCATTTTTTCCATAGAGAGGAATACTACCACATGGAAAAAATGCACATGTGCACTGTAAGCTGAAAATACTAACCGAGAAATCAACTAGTGTGTCAACAACACACCACAGCACATAAATTCTTCAAGAACATGTAATTAATATAAAAAAAAATACGACTCCCTCATCTAAAAAACTTAAAAGGTGTTAGGGCTCGTTCACACTTGACTGTTTTACCAACGCTTGCCAAATGCCCCTATAGCGTTTGGCAAGCGTTGTTCCGGCGTTTGCGGAGCATTTTTTAACGCTCGGCAAATGACGCATGCGCGGTTTAGCGTAGGTTGCTAGGCGTTTGCCGAGCGTTAAAAACGCCCCACAAACACCTATAATGAAGTTTAAATGGTGTTACCGATCCGCAAACGCCCAGCCAGCGTCCGAGGTGTTTGGGAAGCGGTAAAAACTCTTCCCAAACTCCTCTCTGCCACCTGCAGACAACGCTAGTGTGAACGTAGCCTTAGGGATAAGGCTGGCTTCATGGCAATGCGTTGCATTGACACAAAGGGGGAGATTTACTAAAATTGGAGCACTCAGAATTTGGTACAGCTGTGCATGATAGCCAATCAGCTTCTAACTTCAGCTTGTTCATTTAGTGTTACTAAACCCACAACAGTAAACACAGTCTGTATATGCAGTAAAATATGCTTGTTATACTCACTGTGGAACCTAAGGGATTAATCCTTTGTATTGTGTAAAAAGGCTGTTTGATCTTGACTTCTCTGATCCTCCCCTTCTTCCAGTGTCCCCTTTTCATTTCCTGATAAGAATATATGTGTGGAGACACTCTGCACATGTTCATTTTGGTGTGTATTGCTAGAGAGGTTTTTTTTTCTTGAGAGAGTGCATGTGATCAGCACAGGGCCAATCAGCACTGTCCAGACAGAGGTCAGGGGTTTTGCATCCTCTTAGAGCAGAAAGAAAACTCCTCCTACAAGCTTCAACATGTGCTCTGCTGGATACTGATAGAAATCACAAGACTGTTCTAACTGCTGATGAGAAAAGGTATTTAGCAATTTATATTTACTAAAATAATTGAAAAAAATAAATAATTTCCACATTGTGTGTACTGTGTGAGACCAGATATAGTGAATGCAGGGTCCTGGGTTTAGTAACACTTTAACCCCTTGGCGCCGGCGCCTCCCGGCCCTTTAAGGGTTTCAGAAGCCGGGAGGCAGGGCGGGGTATTAGGGTCATGTGACCGCTGTGATTTGCTGTCACAGCGGTTACATGATTGGGAAAGGTCCCGATCGAAAAGGAGATCGGGACCTTTCCGTGAGTACCAGACATGTGTGCTGGGAGCGCGCTCTCAGCACATATACTTTTCTTAATTGCACGCAAATGTGAGGCCGCTCGGCGTCAAGGCCCAGACCCCGGGAGGCCGCACATTTGCGTGTGACCGGCGCCAAGAGGTTAAGCTTTGACAATAAAACCTGGAAGCTGGTTTCTATGCAGAGTCGCACCAGATTTTGCACCTTTCCTGTTTTAGTAAATAAACACCAAAATGTGTGTTGTGTGTTGCAGTGCATTTAGAATGGCACCCCAAAACATAAGTACAGTAGTCTTCAACACACCCCCACTGTAGCTCTTTTCAAGCACATGCCATGCATTGTGGTGCTGTGCATTACAAAAATGGTGCAGGGTCTTCTTTGGTCTGTTTTGGTGCACTGGCATCCCATTCTAGGTTATTGGGCTAATGTAACACAAACACACGTTGACTTAACAGTAACACACCGCAACCAAGCAAAAAAGTATGCAGGGCCCCTAAAAGATCAGACACCTAGAATTGCCCACACTTCTTTTTACGATTTTTTTTACAAAAGTAACCTTAAAGTGTATGTAAACCGTAACAATGAACTTGCTTTATTTCCTTGCTTGTGCTCTGTTATATATCTCATCGAAAGAGTTTTGTTATATCCGTTTAATCCTGCAAGGAACACGTCTATGCAGTGTTATCTTAAGCAGTATTGTTAGTCGTGCCCAGTTCCCTTTTGTGAACTACAGAACACCTCCCTCCTATTTTAGAGAGAGGGGGAGAGGGGAAGGTCTTCTGTAATCCTACTTCTTGTATTAGGTTTATTATGTTGCTTGTCACCTAGGACAAGAAGGATTTTATTGGAAGGATCAGAAAAATAAATGCAGACACCACATCTAAGGACTAGCAAGCTGCAATATATTATATTTTTTGTTTATGGGTTTCACTATACTTTAATCACAGCATCGTAAGGCCTCATGCACACAGGGTGCTTTAAACGCCACTTTTAGAGGCATCTTGCAGGGGTTTTTTTCTGCCTTTATATGCCCCTCAATATTAGTCTTTGTGCTCATGCACACATAGGAATTTAGAGGCAGAAAGAAAAACCCACAGCCAGTGCATTCAGAAGCAGCAGTGTTCTGGCAGGTAAAAAAAAAATCATGCACCTAGATGCATGTAAACGTACATAAGTGTGTCAAACACTTGGGTGTTCATTTATTTTAATCTCTAGAATAAATTAATAGTCTGGCAAATGAAAAGAATAAACGCCCAAGTGCCTGGCACGCTTAAACATGATTTTTATGCTGCTTTTCGTCTGCCAGGAGAAAGGTTTTTAGAAACACTAGGCAAACTCCCAGAGTGCAATGGATTATAAATATGTCAATGCTTGTACATGAGAGACTATGCCAATTGATTTATGCCCCCAGACTCTTGCTCTGTTAAGAAAAAAAAAAAAGAAAGTATTTTCCAGAGCATCACTAGTCACTAGTACCGGTCATTGGCAAATGCCAAGGACCTCAACTAGTACTGCCAAACTATACAAAGAATATACCCAATGTGGCATGAACACCTTGCAGAGACAGTGAGGACAATGTGGTAACTGCCCGGCTTTGTCTATTCCCAGAAATGTGCTTGTCTGTCTCTAAGGAAACTATTCTGTACTAAAGAAATATATAGACAAGCTCTTATGCTGATCCAGCTACCATCATTTCTGAGTCGCTGACCTGGAACAAGCCTACAAAATCGGTAGTACTGACTTCACATGGACCTTGTTGAGTGCTTTCCAGGTCAGTAAGTCAAAGTACTGAAAGAAGTGGCAGCCTAGCAACTAGCATTTTCACAAAAAAGAATAAATTGCCCCAATTCTTTAAAGGTTTTGTTCACCTTTTGCACCATTACCAACCGTATTTAGGGTGTAACATGCTGCAAATGCCTTCCCTCCACCCTTCATCTTATGAATTAATCGACTGCCTTGTGGAAATCCTATTCTTAAATCAGCTGATGTTTTGCATAATGATATGAACTGGAATACCAAAGAAAAACATGACAGAATAAACAAATACATGCATAAACAAAGCTGTTAGTCTATTTTGAAATACTGGGTATATTTATGTCTATAGGAGGATATTCACCACCTATAAGATTGTTCCATATGTTTGAATGTTTTAATGAATTAGTATCTCCTGTCTAAATCCTGAGGAATTACAGATGTGAGCACACCATGGATGACGAGTAAAGCAAAGAACCAAGGCTATTCTATTTCGAGACACCTTTGTCTGGTGCAGCTAAGAATAGCTCTTTAGGCTGCCTGGAAAAATGACTATTCCTTCATGTAAAATACACAATACTCCCCGTGTATAGCTAACCATTTGCCACTGGTCGTCAATTTACAAGGTATAGGAGCCCCAACTGCAGTCTCTGACATCTCCAAAGGGCCACAAATGTTCAGTATAGGTAGTGATAGAGAGGACTGTCAGACTGCAGACATACTACAAGAAATGATCTATAGAGACTGTTAATATGCTTCAGGTTTGTTTGAAGACTGGAGAAGAGAAATCTCTGCCATTACCCCTATACAAATCAATGCTTCCGCTCCCACCCCAAATTGCTGGGACCTTACATTGTACGCCCCTTGAGCGTTAGGGACTGCTGTGAATGTACAATATATATGTAAAGCGCTGCGTAAATTGACAGCACTATATAGGTGCATAAAATAAATAAATCCACAAGCCTTACAAGTAACTAAGGGCTGCAACTCAGGAATCAGGGCCATAGACAAATAATATGGTGGACTCAACTATCAGCTATGACACATGCACATGATACTGACTGCAAAGTGAGAGGAAGACCAATTTGGGATGTGTGTCTGTATGCTGGAAATTTTTTCTTGCCACAGTCTCGACTGACCAATTTTATATTGAATGTGTGCAAAGAGTAAACCCAAAAAATGAGACGCAACAGAAGCAGTGCTTATTGTTTACACATCTACCAAAAAAAGGTTTACAAATATGAAGATCATCTGCAGTAAGGGCCAGTTCACAGCAGAATGTTGTGCAGGAAAGGCGTTCTGTGCATATTTACCGCATTCAAACGTACTGCTCTTGCAGTCTGCATGCGGTTGCCAATGTATTGTCAATGGCACCCCAAACTATGAGCGTTTGTGGGCACCAAATCGCATAGTACTACGCAGTTTGGTGCTGTGCATTTTTAATACTTCTGCAAGCACTACTGTTTGTGTGGACTGGTGCATTTGCAGCTATCAAGCCGCAACACATGGGAATTGCACAGCAACACAGGTGTTCAAATGTGCATGCTCCTGTGCAATCCTGCTTTGAATTGGTCCTAAAGTAGTGTTTTTGGACATTTGCATGTGGGCATTGTGGGTCTTACAGTGTAAAAAAAAAAAAAAGCAAAAAAAAAAAAAACAGTGTTCTTGGGCAAAAGGGAGATACAAGTACAGCCCACTGCCAGCAGCCTGTCAAAATCAATGACAGGCTGAAATACACAGAGCCTGTACACTGTTCAAAGTGGTCACACTTTGGGTCCTATGCCTTGAACACATATGGATATAAGTGCGAGTCCTGCTTGGAACAGGTCAGTATATTTTAGTCTCTCGTTGATTTTGAGGGGCTGCTGACACCAGGCTGTACACTGCACCTGTCTGTGCCCCCCAGGCACCCAGAGATAGTCAGTTTGTATGTTGCATGAGCCAATCTGCCATCTGTATGAGCCATAAGCTGGACATACACTATACAATCTGACTGTACAATCATCTTTAGATTTACCAAACCTATATAACATGGGGGCATACCTAACCTATGCAATCAATCTGTATACAATCAGGCAGGCCCTTGCACTACATGGTTGATGGTAGATCTAAAGTGGAATGTACAATCATATTGTGTAGTGTATGTTGAGTTTAGACTTCTTCTGACATTTGAGAAATCTATATGCCCCCCCAATGATGTCCCTTCGCAAAACTCAGCTGCTCCGATCTTATTTAGGCAAAATGAAGATGGGATTGTTTGGGGGCCACATCAGTGGATGTATAAACAGCTGTTTCTACTGTCTCCTGCATAATATGAACAGTCCAGGCATCTGATGACTACTCATATCTGTCAGATTTCTGCAGAACCATAGGATGATCAAATCTTCTGGGCCACCCACCAGTAAGACAGACAACAAATGGAAAACTATAGCAAATCGCATCTACACAAAATAAAACACATGCATGCACACATACATCACAAAGCAGCAGCTGTTCATTTCTATATTTTTCGTGAAAAAAAAAAAAAATTTGAAAATCAGACTGTCTGCAATGAAGAGACACATCATGGACACAACAAAACAGACGGAACAAAGGAGTTTGTAAAATTCAACAATCAGTTTAGTGAGGAGTGCAAAAATATGGAGGCTAGAGATGTCAACAGTTGACCGTTCTAGCAATCTCACATATTAATCTCATGCAGTAGTAATGGGCACGAGATGACACCAGCATGGCTCCCACCCCATATCTACACCCCATTCGTTTACAGACTGAATCACAGAAATGTAGCACAGAATCTATGTTACATTTGGAACCTGTGGATGTGAATGAAGGAGGAGAAATGGTGCAGGGGTGTCGGAGGAAAATGAATACCAGGCACAGCTGTCAAACAGACTGAGGTCAGACAGCAGAGAAACCCCCTGCAGACACAGCACACCCCAGGAGGCAGTGATAGGAGGACATGTCCACAGAGATAATGTCAACACTGGATGCTAAAAACTTCAAGTTTCATTATTTTTGGCAGGACCATAAATTATACAGACTGAGCCATATCTATCGCCAAGGACGGTCTGCAGTCCACTGTCACACAAGACACTCGTCAACCTGCCCTACCCAGGGTCAATTATCTCATTTATTTTGATACACCAGGGTTGGGTCAATAGTGTCAAATATTTTTGTAACCCCATGTGGCACTGGAGGGTTGGGCTGCATATTGCTCTGCAATGACACAGCTTATGCCTTCAGGATAGATGAGGTCAAATGTCAGGGTCCTGCCCTGCATCTGGTTAACTGGGTCCCCCTTGTCACATAGTGCAAGGAGCTAGTTCTTTGTAGGTTCCAGACCAGCGCCCAGACATGCCATTCCCACAGTAGGAACTCCCTAAAGATCAGAAGGTGTTCTTTGGTTGGCATGCAGAACAAACCCAATGTTATAGCGGCTTCTTCTCCAACTGGAGGGTTTCTCTCCTTTTTGAGCAGTTTGTTCTTCGTTGGGTTCCAGACAAGCACCCAGACATGCCATGCCCGCGGTGAGAACTCCCTAAAGATCGGGAGGTCATCTTTGGTTGGCATGTAGGCCAACCCATTGTTATAGCTGCGGTTTCCTATTTTGCTTGAGGGTCTCTTTCTCCTTGTTGAGAAATTTGTTGGGTTCTAGGCCAGCACCCAGACAAGCCGTAAAGATCAGGAGGTCATCTTTACTTGGCATGTAGAACAAACCCAGTGTTATTGCAGTTTCTGCTCAAGTGTCTCGTTTTGAAGAGTTTGATCTTTGTGGGGTTCCAGGCCAGCACCCAGACATGCCATGACCACAGTAGGAGCTCCCCAAAGGTCAGGAGGTCATCTTTGGTTGGCATGTAGGGTAGCCCGATGTTACCGCTGCTTCTTCTTCTGCTTGAGGGTCTTTCGCCTCTTGAGGATCATCTCGTAGAGCTTGTCCATGCCCTCGGTGAGCCCCTCTCCGATGATGGCACAGGCTGGCTGGACATGGTAGGGGGTAGATGGGCTCAGTTCTTGGAGGGCCAGCTGTCTCTCGATCTCAGTCACTGCCAGGGACTTGGGCAGGTCCTGCTTGTTGGCGATGACCAGCAGAGGGGTTCCCTGGTTCTCCGCGAACTTGGTCACCTTGTGCAGCTCGGTCTTCGCTTCCTCCAGCCGGTCAGAGTCCACCGAGTCCACCACGTAGATGATGCCGTCCGTGCAGCGGCTGTACGACTTCCAGAGGGGTCGCAGCTTCTCCTGGCCGCCCACATCCCAGAAGTGACAGCTGATGCCCTTGGCCGCCCCGTTGCTGAGCCGGATCCGCTCGGTGTTGAAGCCGATGGTGGGCACGGTGTTGACGAACTCGTTGAACTTGAGCCGGTAGAGGACGGTGGTCTTGCCGGCGGAGTCCAGGCCGAGCATGACGATGTGCAGGGACTGGAAGGACGAGATGTTGGAGGAGATGTTCCCCATGTCTACAGGTGACCTGTGTGCGGCGCCCTGCGGGGATCCTCACCACCGAGCATGCCGTGTGCTGGAAGGTCTGCCGGGGTGTGCGGGATCCCCCGGGCCGGGCAGATGTCACCCCTCCTCCGGTGTCTGCTCCTTCTCCTCCGTCCTCTTATCTCTCCCTCCTCCAACCCTTCACATGATAATGAATCTGCATCCCCAGCCATCCATCTCCTCCCCGATCACACCCCTCACACTGGGGAGGGGGCTCTTAAAAGGGCCACAACTCAGCCTCCTGCGGGGAAACGTGGCCGGGAGATGTCACAGCCTCTGCACCGACCAGTCCTATGGAGGGAGGGAGGGGGGGGGGCTGTGTGTCATCGCTGTATATAGGCAGAAGGCCAGAGCTTTACCGAACTCATCTACACAGCAAGAAGCAGAATCTGCAGCATGCCAACCAATCAGCTTCAAGCTTCAGATTGTTCAGTGGAGCTTTAAAAATGAAAGCTAGAAGCTGATTGGTTGCCGTGCACAGTTGCTCCAAAATCTGCTTCACTTGGCCATAAGCCTAGTACACACGATCAGAAAATTGTACGAAAAAGAACGCTTCTGAAGCAATCGTATGATGATCTGATCATTAGTACACAGCTTTCCTCTGAAATTATTAGAAGGGACAGGCAGGAAACATTTTCTCATAGGTTACAAGATGGTAGATTTTCCTTTAACTGCTTACCCTCCAGAGGATTTACCCCCCTTGCTGGTCAGGCCATTTTTTGGGATATAACACTGCATTACTTTAACTGACAATTGCTCCTAGATTGTAAGCTCCAAGGAACAGGGCCCTCGAACCCCTCGTGTCTCACATTGTATTGTTATTGTACTTTCGCATGTTCTGTCCCCCTTTGTAATGTACAGCGCTGAGCGAACTATTGGCGCTTTCTAAATACTGTATAATAATAATTGCGCGGTCATGCAACGCTGCACCCAAATGAAACACGTAAGGCTTTTTCCCCACAAATAGAGCTTTCTTTCGGTGGTATTTGATCACCTCCGGTTTTAATTTTTTGAGCTATAAAAAAAAATATGTATTTTTTTATAAAAATATATGTATTTTGGACTTTTTGCTATTAAACATGTCCAGTAAAAAATTAAAAAAATCAAATTTCATCATAAATTAAGCCAAAATGTATTCTGCTCCATGTCTTTGCTAAAAAAAAAATCCCAATACATGTTAATTAATTGGTTTGTGTGAAAGTTATAGCGTTTACAAATGGCGGCATATATACTGGAATATTTTTTTCACTAGTAATGGCGGCGATCAGTGGGACTTATAGCGGGACTGCGGTGGGCATTCTGACACTGGGGGGAATTGACTTGGTGTCACTGACATCCCCAGTGACACCAATACAGTGATCAGTGCTAAAAAAAAGCACTGACACTACTAATGGCACTGGTCAGGAATGGGTTAACAGGTGGGGCGATCAAAGGGTTAACTGTGGGCTGTTTCACTGTAGGGGCTGTGTGTGTGCTTCACTGTAAGCACATTGCTTTGTATGGCTCTGTTCTGCAGAGCCATACAAAGCAGTGTGCAGGAGCTGACAGGAGAGATCTGTGTTGTTTACAGACAGGTCTGTCCCCCATCAGTGATACTCAGTGAGCTCCGGGTGCCGGTGGGTTATCAACAGCAGGGACCCGGTGATTGACAGCCAAGGCCGTGAATGGGCGAATGGCAGCGCAGGCACTACCTGGAACTGCAAAATCACGTATATATGTGAATTTTCGCAGCTGTGCCACCATATGTTTGCTATAGGGTGGCGTGGAGCCCTTAATCAGTACAGTTCTTGTCAGAACATACAATACAAATACAATACAATACAATGCATCACATCACTTCTGAATTTTTATTCAGTTGTACAAGAATTTTCATAACTTGAGTAATCTCTTCATTTTCGATATAAGACTAGCATGTAAAAAAGAAAAAAAAAACACAGACAATTATTTGTCTGATATTCTCATCATGTATACGGGCCTGTAGATGGATCCAAATTCGGCCAGTTCAGCAGGGACCAGCTGAGTTTTGATCCATCTATGTATGGTCTTTCCCAAGCCAGAGGGAACAATCTAAAGACTGACGTCTCTTAAACAGAACTTCCAGTATATTTTCATGTGATTAGCACTGCAGCCAATCATGACAGCAGCGGAGTCCTGCTGTCAGAATACAATATCGCAGTGGGGAGGGCTCCTCCATCCACCTTACTTTGTGCGGGTGGGGGAATCTATTTGTTTTTTTCATTCAATCCATTGGCTGAATGAAAAAGAAAACTGTACATGTATTCCCAGCTTTAGTAAAACTGGCCATAGACAGTTTTCCTTTCATTTAGCCAGCAGGCTAAATGAAAAAGAAGTAACAGATTCCTCCATCCAGAAAATTGAGGTGGATGAAGGAATTTTTCCCGCTGAGACATTGTATTCTGACAGTGGGAACTCTCTGCTGTCACAATACACAGATCAGCAACTGCAGCCACTGACTGACAAAAGTTTTCCAGCATGTCCCTTCAACAGAAGTTGATTAAACGAGCAGGGACAGCCACACACTAAACCGGACAATTTGTGATCAGTGTATGGTCAGTCTTCTTGAATTTGTTACTGCTGACCATATACAGGGGTTAGACAAAAAAATGGAAACACTACATGATCTGCAGGTGTGAAAGTGATGGCATGTTTCGCATTGAAAGCGGAAGTGATATAACATTCTTCTACTTCCACTGTGTGATGAGACCCCTAGCTGACAGGTGGGAAGCCTTACTTTTGTCATTCACTGCGTGAGATGCTAGTAATACAGTCATGTCAGAGCTTACTGAGCTTCTAAGAGGGCAAATTGTTGGTGCCCCCTTAGCTGGTGCCTCTGTGACTGAAATTGTCAATTTATTTGCTGTGTGACGAGGTACAGTATCAAAGGTACATACAGTTTCTGGGAAAACGCCGTCTGATAAGCATAAATGTGGTCGATATAGTCAACTGACCGAAAGAGAAAAAAAGGACAACTGCTGCAAAAGTGACTGCAGAGCTCAATGTCAGTCCTGTGAAGAGTAAATGGTGGTAGGAGGAACTCCAGTGCAAGAAACAGCATGCGCAAATGTCCTTCAAGTAAAAACACCTGTTTGTCACTTCCTTAGATAAGTAGATTAAACAAAACCAAAACACGGGAAAGAGTATTCATCCCAAGAAAAAGAAGGCTTGCACTCTACAGGCAGATCTGCTATTGGGGAAACTAGGAAAAATTCCTTACATCCTTATCAGGCCTTAAAGCGGAGTTCCACCCAAAAGGGGAAGTTCCGCGTTAATGCTGTGTCCCCCGCTCCCCGTTAAGGATTGGCACATTTGGGGAGCGGGTACTCAAATTTGACAGGTACCCGCTCCCACTTCTGCTGCGATCGCCTAGGCAATCGGAAAAGGAAGTTCTCCTCCCTCCCTCCCTGTAGTCTTCTGGGACACGTGACAGGTCCCAGAAGACTACGGGGCCATTCACAAAGCACAGCGCTTCTCGCACATGCGCAGTGGGCACATGCCTGTGAAGCCGCAAGCTGTCACAGCCGGGTGCCCACACTGAAGATGCCGGCATCAGGTAGAGAAGACGGCCGGTGAAATCAGCGGCGGTGAGGACACCACTGGACCAAGGGACAGGTAAGTGGCTGTATTTTAAAAGTCAGCAGCTACAGTTTTTATAGCTGCTGACTTTTTTTTTTATTTTTCAGCTGGGAATCTGCTTTAAGCTTACATTCTCACTGATTACAGTACATGGTCAGCCCTCAATTTGTGCTTGCATGAGGGTCTTGAGCTTGATGTGAGGTAGCTTTGAGGCAGTGCTGTATGCCTAGTTTCATCCAAGATCATTGCAACTCAACATTCTGACAGCGTGAGACAGACAGACTTTCAATGGACCATCCCATGTGTCTGACCTACAAGGCCAGACTTCCCCTGATGTGGTGGATTCTCAACCAGGCACTGGAGTCATGCTAACTTATTTCCTTAAAGAGGTGGAAAGTTCTTATGACAGATGTCAGTCTTTCAAGCTGTGGGGGAGTCTTGGATTCCCTTTGAGTGCAGGGGACTTGGGAATCAGAGAAGCTCGACTTCCCATCTACATGCTGGAACTTGGGGCAATTCAGTTGTGCCTTCAGTGCTGGACCTCTCAATTCCAAGGTCCCTAGACCAGAATCAAGTTGGACAATGCCATTACTACATCAACCATTAAGCTGGCACCATTGCGCAAAAAGAAGTTTCTTGATGCTGACGTTGGTGAAATTGCACATTCCAACCCTGTTGTTAATCCCTATCCTAGGCATGGGAAATTGTCAGGCAGACTTTGTCAACCATCACCATCTGGATCTAAGGGAATGGCTGTATTCAGAATTGAGGGATGCTGAACATGGATCTTCTGGTGTTTCGATTCAACAAAAAACTGGACAAGTTTGTGGCCAGATCCAAGGACTCTTGGGCCTTCACAGAAGGTGCTTTGGTGACTTTGTGGGATTAAAAAAAAAAAAACGATTCCTCCTGCGCTCCAGGACCCAGGCCGGTGGTGAGTAGGTGAAATCAAACCCAAAGGAAACGACCACCAGAGCATGAAAGGTCGTGCAGCTCCAAAACAAGGCTGGGGAAGCCCGAACAATACTGCAAAGTGAAAAAAACAAGAAGCGCACCAACCTTGCGTGTTACCTCGGTAACCAAAATTTATTAGTAAAGGAATGGTACTCACAAACAGCGAATAAAAACAGGCATGTAAGTCCTCCAAGGGACTTCAGAGACAAGAGGCCAGCGC